GAGACCCCCGAGGCGGTGGGATCGCTCCGGGCGGCTCTGTCGGTGACCGCGGTGCCCCGGCTCCCGCAGGAGGATGCTGGTGGTGGAGGTGGCGAACGGCCGCTCCCTGGTGTGGGGGGCCGAGGCGGTGCAGGCGCTGCGGGAGCGCCTGGGAGTCGGGGGCCGCACGGTGGGCGCCCTGCCCCGCGGGCCCCGCCAGAACTCGCGCCTGGGCCTCCCGCTGCTGCTGATGCCGGAGGAGGCGCGGCTCCTGGCCGAGATCGGCGCCGTGACCCTGGTCAGCGCCCCGCGCCCGGATCCCCGCCAACACAGCCTGGTAAGGGGGCGGGCTGGGGGGCGAACTCCCTGGACCGGTGCGGGTGGGATAGTGGGGGGGCGGGCACCTGGGATCTCCGGTTCGGGCCCTAAGGCTGGGGGGGCTCGGGGAGTCAGGCTTCCTGGCTTCCTAGGGGCGGGCATACCTGGATCCTGAGGTTCCAGCTAAGTTTACTCCGCAGGCTCTGGCATCCTTCAAGCGTGAGCAGGAGCAGGGCTTCCAGGAGCAAAGCGCCCTGGCGGCCGAGGCCCGCGAGACCCGCCGCCAGGAGCTCCTGGAGAAGATCGCAGAGGGCCAGGCGGCCAAGAAGCAGAAGCTGGACCGGGGCTCCGGGACCAGCGAGAGCCAGGAAGCCAGTGAGAACCCAGCCGCGGAGGATGAGGCCGGTGCGAGCCAGGCTTCTGGAGAGCAGGAGGAAGCCGGTGCGGGTGGGAGTGGAAGCCCAGGACCTGGGGGAGGAGAGGGGAGATCTTTGGGGAATTCTGGCTGGGACTTTAGGGCTTGGGTGGGTCTCCCTCGGGGATGGGAGGAAGACCTTCCGTCTTGGATTCACCAAACTCTGGGGTTCACCTCCGCAGGCTCCTCCTCTCCCCAACCAGGGCCTTCCGAGGGGGCGGCCCCCCTGCCCAGGTCTGCCCTGCTCGTCCAGCTGGCCACAGCTAGGCCTCGGCCCATCAAGGCCAGGCCCCTGGACTGGAGGGTGCAGTCCAAGGACTGGCCCCACGCCGGCCGCCCGGCCCATGAGCTGCGCTACAGCATCTACAGAGACCTGTGGGAGCGAGGCTTCTTCCTCAGCGCGGCTGGCAAGTTCGGGGGCGACTTCCTGGTCTATCCTGGTGAGTTTGGCCCGGGGCCTCCGGTTGCTGGCCCTTTCTTCACAGGCCCACCACAATTCTGCCTTTTTCTTTTTTTGTCTCATTTTCTCAGCGTCTGAAACACATGGAAGGACAGGAGACACTTGGGACCCCCAAGCTTATTTGGGGGACAGGATAGTAAATTTTATTAATACTTCCATCCAGAAGTTTCACCTAAAAATACATAGGTATATCAAACATATAAGAAATATTAACTGCAGTATTTTTTACAGTATTCAAAACAAAAGTTAGATAGTAATCATGATGAAGGATGATGATTAATAAGCTAGTGGTTAAACATCACTGGTAGCTGTTAGAGAAGCACCATTAGTTGTCAGACTGATACAGGTTCATGTACATTTATAGTAAAAATGACCAAAGGGAGTGCGCTGGCCTGGAGGCTCAGTTGGTTGGAGCATCCTCCCAATGAGCTATGGTTGTGGGTTTGATCCTGGATCAGGGCACATAACATGAGTCAACCAATGAATACATGGATGTGTGGAATGACAGGTCGATGCCTCTCTCTGTAAAAAAAAAAAAAAAATCAATAAAAATGACCAAAGAGAGAAAAAAAGAATAGCTTGTAGAAAACATGTTTAGTAAAAAGTAATTCACGTTTTATATTGTTATACAGTTGTATACACATTATTTAAGTAGCCGTAAAGATTGTGGCTCTAGTGAAAGACTATGAAAAGAACTTAGAATAAAATGGAGCACCAAGTGGACTAAGAATCCTATCAAGAAAGTAGAAGAGGCATGAAAGGATGTACTCTACTCCAGCCCAACTACAGTGGTTACTTGTGGAAGGGAATTTGCATCAGGTATAGATAAACGGACTAGATGAATCACTTAATTTTTGAGTTTGTAGTAAGGGTACCTCTATTATGTAACTAAAAATTTAAAAAAATTAGGCCCTGGCTGTGTAGTTTAGTTGGTTAGAGCACTGTCCCGATACCCCAAGGTTTTCGGGGTCAGGGTACATAGAAGAATCAATCAATCAATCAATGCATAAATAAGAGGGATAAGAAATCTTTTTTTTAAAAATTTAATTTAATTTTACTTTATTGTTTTATTGCTTAAAGTATTACAAAGAGTATTACATATGTCTCCTTTTTTTCCCCGCCCTTGACAAAGGAGGGATAAGAAATCTTAATCTCTCTCTCTCAAATCAATCAATAAATGAAAATATTAAAAAATAAATAAAAGTTTAAAGAAATAAGTCTGCAAAATATCACCCTTTTTGTTCTCCCTAAGAACGTGAAAAGATATAACTTTCTGATAAGGTAGTCAGAGCTCAGCTATTGATTGGAGACTGCCCACTAAGTCTTCCGCAGCTGAGGGGAGAGTCTTAGCACTAGGTGATGTACGTAGGTAGATTTTAGTGCCACTGTACATTTTATTTTTTATTTTAATTAAACTTACTGGGGTGACATTGGTTGACATGATCATATAGGTTTCAGGTATGGTTTCTATGTCACAAGATCTATATTTCACCGTGTGCCCACCACCCAAGTCAAATCTTCTGCCATCACATATATTAGGACCCTCTCCTCCCTCTGCTGTACTTCTATACTTTTCGAGAAGATGAATACCTGGGTCTAAGGATATTTGTGGCTTTTTAATACTTTTTGAATCATTTATTTATTTTTTTGTTAATCCTCACCCGAGGATATTTTTCCATTGATTTTTAGAGGGAGTGGAAGGGTGGGGGAGAGAGTATCACTGGGGCCAGGGATTCAGCCTGCAACCAAGGTATGTGCCCTCGACCGGAATTCAATCCAGGATCCTTCAGTCTGTGGGCTGACACTCTATCCACCGAGCCAAACCAGCTAGGGCTGATTTTTTTTATTTTAGAGAGAGTGGAAAGGAGCAAGGGGTGAGACAGAGACAGAGAAAGAGAGAAACAAAGAAATCACTGTGAGAGAGACATTGATTGGTTGCCTCCCGCATGCACCCTGACCAGGGCTGGGGATCAAACCTGCAACCAGGTAGGTGCCCTTGCCAGGTAATTGAACCCGAGACACTTCGGTGGTGCACAGGCCAGTGCTCTAACCATTGAACACACCTGCCAGGGTGTTATTTTTTAATTTTTAAAATTTAGGGAGAGGAAGGGTGAGAGAGAGAGAAGAAACAAACAGCCCTAGCCGGTTTGGCTCAATGGATAGAGCGTAGGCCTGCAGACTGAAGGATTCTGGTCAAGGGCACGTATCTTGGTTGCAGGCTCCTCCCATGCAGGCGGCAACCAATTGACACCGATGTTTCTCACTGTCTTTCCCTCTCTCTTCCACTCTCCCTAAATCATCAATGGAAAAATATCTCCTGGTGAGCATTAACAAAAGAAAAACAAACAAACAAACACATCAATGTGAGAGAGAAACATTGATCTGCTGCCTCCCATATGTGCCCTGACTGGAATCAAACCCTCCACCTTTTGATATATGGGATTATGCTCCAGCCAACTGAGCCACACCAGCCAGGGCTAAGGGTATCTATTTTAAAAATACTCACAGTGGCCCTAATCGGTTTGGCTCAGTGGCTAGAGCGTCGGCCTGTGGACTGAAGGGTCCCAGGTTCGATTCCGGTCAAGGGCATGTACCTTGGTTGTGGGCACATCCCAGTAGGGAGTGTGCAGGAGGCAGCTGATGGATGTTTCTCTCTCATTGATGTTTCTAACTCTCTATCCCTCTCACTTCCTCTCTGTAAAAAAATCAATAAGATATTTTTTTTTTAAAAAAAGATAATAAAAATACAGTGGCCCTAGCTGGTGTTTCTCAGTGGTTAGAGCATCAGCTGCACACCAAAGGGTCTCGAGGACAAGTACTGGGTTTTGGGTTTGATTCCCAGGTTGGGGTGTGTGTTGGAGGCAACTGGTTGATGTTTTTCTCCCCCCCCACCCCCCCCACCCCCGCCTCCCTCCCTTCCACTCCTGAAAAGCAATGGAAAAAATAGCCTCAAGTTAGTGTTTGCTAAAAGGATTCCCTGCCTCCTGTCGGCAGGCAGTCCGGTGTCCCCCAGCCTCTGCCACTGGAAACCGCTGCATGCCTCCCTTCCTCACCCAGGTGACCCGCTCCGCTTCCATGCCCACTACATCGCCCAGTGCTGGGCTCCCGGGGACCCCATCCCACTCCAGGACCTGGTGTCTGCCGGCCGCCTGGGAACCAGCGTCAGGAAGACGCTGCTCCTCTGTTCTCCGCAGCCGGATGGTAAGGTGGTCTACACCTCCCTGCAGTGGGCCAGCCTGCAGTGAACTCCAGAGACTTACAGGGCGTGGCTGCGTCTGGGGCGAGAGCCTTTCGACATGGTCCCAAGTTCATCTCTGTGTGGGAGACGAGAACACCTTCCTACCTCTGCCTACGGCTAGTTTTTGATTCCAGATTTATGAACACTACATCCTCCTTGTGTCCCTCCATGTTTCAAAGCACTTACTGGCTGTGTTGTTTTTGTAGTTACTTGTTTCCAAACTGTGAGCTTCTTGAGAGTGAAGACTCGGTTTGATTCATCTCTCTTTTCTACAGGGCTCAGGTCCCAAGAGATCTCAATAAACTTGTTGAATAAATGTGGAGTTTGTGATTTGGATCCTTAGGACAGTCCTGGGGAGTGTGGCCCTTTGCATCTGCTTTTCATGAGCAAACGTCTGGAGGAGGGAAATGACTTGCCCAAGGTCACACAGCTAGTAAGTAACAGGGCTGGGATTTAGAACCTGGTCTTTCTCACTCTGAACAAAGTCTGAGCTATTCCCACCGTGTTAAACTTCCTTTTGAAAATATTTTAATGAAACATTTCAGATGCGTCCTATATAATAAAACCCTAATATGCAAATCAACTGAACGGGGGAACTACTGGCAGAATGACTGGTTGCTATGACATGCACAGACCACCAGGGGCAGCTCCTGTGTTGAGCGACTGCCCCCCACTCCCACCCCAGAGGGAGGCAACCGGCAGTAGCAGCCCTTTCCCCCCCCATCAACCTCCCCCATCACCCTGACCACCAGTTGCCCTATAGATGGCCCTGACCGCCAGCCAGGTCTAGGGACCCTACCCTATATATTGGGAACAGTCTCTTAGATTTAAAAATTAAAACCTGGCAAGGCTACTCTAACACTGAAAAAAAAACAGGATGATGCAGTGATGACCTGCATGGCCTCTGGCTTGCACATTTTGTGGTCAGCCCTGATTCTGACACTTATAACTGTGTGACAAAGCCAATTACTTAACTTCTCTCTGCTTCAGTTTTTCCAACCATAAGATGGGGAAAATGGTACTACTGCCTCAGAAGGATCATGTTATGTACTTTTTATAATCAGGGCAAAAAAATGTAGCTGCCCATACAACAGCAAGATGCCTTTCACCTGTATGAAAAGTATGGTCACTGGTGCATGTAGCATCCTGGATTGTGAGAGAGTGCAGGCTGGGCTGAGGGACACCCCCCACCCCCCATGCATGAATTTTGTGCACTGGGCCTCTAGTATGTAAATAAAAATAATGCATGAAGAGAAGAAGGAGGTGAATGTTGTTTCAGAACAGGAGTTTAGAAAGGGGAGGAGAATCTCAGGAAATGCTCTTGGGTCTTCTGGAATAGCATACATTTATATTCTAGCTCCTTTATTATTATTTTTTAAATATATTTTTATTGATTTCAGAGAGGAAGGGAGAGGGAGAGAAACATTAGTGATGAGAGAGAATCATTGATTGGCTGCCTCTTGCACACTCCCTACTGGGGATGGAGCCCGCAACACGGGCATGTGCCCTTGACAAAAAACAAACCCCAGACCCTTCAGTCCATGGGCGGACGCTTTATCATGGGACGGGGGTGGGCAGATGGATGAAACAATGATCCCTGTAACAGTGCCAGGACTTGATTAGAAACTGATAGCTTCCCTAATTTTTGTCCCTGGTTCCAATTTAAGATCAAGAGAAAGCCAGGCCCTGGCTGGTTTGGCTCAGTGGATAGAGCATCGGCCTATGGACTGCAGGGTCCCGGGTTCGATTCTGAAGAAGGGCACATGCCCAGGTTGCAGGCTTGATCCCCAGTAGGGGGCATGCAGGAGGCAGCCAATCAATGATTCTCTCTCACTGATGTTTCTCTCTCTCTCTCCCTCTCCCTTCCTCTCTGAAATCAATAAAAAAATATTTTAAAAAATGTTTTCAGATAGCACACATGAAAATAGCCCACCTCCAGCTTTCCCCAGGCCAACAGCCTCCAATCAGGGCACACCTGGTGTTGCTCAGTGGATGTGGGTCCATCCAGGAACCAAGAGATCCTGGCTGATTCCTGATCAGGGCACATGCCTGGGTTGCAGTAAGGGGGAGGAGGGCGGCACAGCAGGCAGCCAATCAATGATTCTCTCTCATCATTGATGTTACTATCTCCCTCGCTGTTCCTCTCTGAAATCAATAAAAATATTAAAGAAAACAACAACAGCCGAAACCGGTTTGGCTCAGTGGATAGAGTGTCGGCCTGCGGACTGAAGGGTCCCAGGTTCGGTTCCGGTCAGGGGCATATACCTGGGTTGCGGGCACATCCCCAGTGGGAGATGTGCAGGAGGCAGCTGGTCGATGTTTTTCTCTCATCGATGTTTCTAACTCTCTGTCTCTCTCCCTTCCTTCCTCTCTGTAAAAAGTCAATAAAATATATTAAAAAAAAAAACAGTGGGGGGGGGGGGATAGGGGGTAATGTGGGGATAAGGACACATATGTAATAACTTAATAAAAAAATTAAAAAAAAACAAAAAATAAAACTGTACCTTTTTTGCACTATAAAACCCTTCTGCCTGCCTTGGACTCTGCCAAAATGCAAGTGACGGTGATTGATGCTCTCACTCTGAATAAATATCTTTTGCTTGTTTTCATTTATTTCCACATTGTGCAGTCTTGCACACATTCTGTAACCACCTTTTGGTGCCTCCAGACGGTCTCTGTGAAATACAATTGATAACAGTGTTAGTGCTCCTTAATGAGGCCAGGCAACTTCTCTGAGAGCGCTCATAAGCATGCATTGAGGATTAAATACATCAATTCATATAAAATTCTTAAAACAGTGCCTCCTGTGCAGTAAGCATTTCAAAATGCCACCTATTACTTTTAATACAATCATGGGCCACTAGAATCCTTAAAACCCAGACAGTGTTTGGCCCAAAGCCTAGCACATTTAAAGAGCTCAATAAACATAAATCTAACGACACAAGCAAAGCCCTGGGGTGTGAATGGGATTATTCCAGGGAGAAAAGGACCAGAGGAAATAACCCTGAGGGTAAGATGCGGGCAAAGGAGATAAAAAAACTGCCGATTCCTCCAGGTGACAAATGGTGTCACGGTGGAGCAGACTCTGCAGGGAGAGGTTGCCCAACAGTCACCCGGTCCTGGGAACCAACCTCAGAATAGAAACTGCTGCCCTAGCCTGTTTGGCTCAGTGGATAGAGCGTCGGCCTGTGGACGAAGGCGTCCTGGGTTCGATTCCAGTCAAGGCCTGTACCTTGGTTGCAGGCTCCTCCCTGGTGGTGACCAGGGACCCTAGTCGGGGTGCATGTATGGAAAAATATTCTCGGGTGAGGATTAAAATAATTAAAAATAAAAAAGAAATTGCTATCTTGGGGAAAGAGGCACCAGCCGCCCTGGCCGGGGTGGTTCAGTTGCTTGGAGCATCGTCCTGAAGCGCCAGGGCTGCCGGTCCCATCCCCGCCCTGGGCACAGGCGGAATCAACCAGTGAGAGCATGCAAGTCGATGTATCTGTCTTCTTTCATTTCTAAAAATCCATAGAAAATTAGAAAAAAAAAAAAGTAGGCACAAAGCTTTTTTATCCTTGGGTCTTACGTTTAAAATAACAAACAAACGCCCCCTCCTCAGAGTCCGCCGGAACCATCCTATGGGAAGTACCATTTCCCCTCAGTCATTATTAGTAATTTTTATATTTTCTTCATGGTTCCCGCTCCGAAGGGATTTACTTCCTTCAATTTGCTATTTTTTTTTCCGTTCCCCTGAGACTCTAAGCTCCGTGAGCAGAGGGGCTGTGCATTCCCGGTTGTCACCGTGCGGAGCAAATCCTGGCGCCCGCGGAGGGAGGGCGGCCGTCCCGAGGCAGCCCGAGCCGCTGGCTTCGGGGTGACGTTGTTCTGAGGAAAGAACGACTTCATTGTTCACCGAATCCACGGAGAAGCTTCTGGAAGAAGCTGTGAGCCCCCCGAGAGGGAGCCGTCTGAGGTCTAGAAAGGGTGGCGGTAACGCCTCCAGCATTACACCGACTCGGAGGCCAGCAGGCGGGATTTAGGGAACCACCGCGGGGCGGAAGAGGGTCCCCACTTCCGGAGGCGTCGGTGCCCCGAGTCCCTGTCAGGCCGAGAGCCACGGGCCCCCTTTTATTAAAGCCGCTCTGGCCCCGCCTCTCGTCTCCACAGAGGGGCCGCCCGCCAACGCCCCTTCTGATTGGTGCAGGCGGGCGTCGTGCGCGATGACGTCACGCGACGGCGGCGTTGCTATAAAAGCGCTGCCGGGGCGCGTGCGCTCCTCTTTCTCAGCCGGGTCCGCGCTTGGGTTAGGTGGGTTGCTGTGCTTCCTGGTTCTGGTGTGGGTTGTAAGGCCGCGTGGGCCTCTTAAACTCGGATAAAAACAGTGAAGAGGTTGGGGCGGCCGGTGAGATGAGGATGGCTGGACAGGACGGCTACACGTTTGTGGAGTGAAGGCGGTTCTGGAAGTTTTGGGGACGTTCTCGCGAGATCTCTGGCCGCCACGGGATTCTAGCGTAGTCGTGGGACCGCGCAGGCGCCAACCGCGTTCCTCACCACCGCGTTTCTCTCCTGCGCAGGCGGAGCAGCGCCGCCAACATGCCCGTGGCCCGGAGTTGGGTTTGTCGCAAGACCTATGTGACCCCGCGGAGACCCTTCGAGAAGTCCCGCCTCGACCAAGAGCTGAAGCTGATCGGTGAGGGGCCAACGCAGGGTTTTGGCTTCCGGGGTCGGGGGGGAGGCGAACGCGTGGGTGAGGCCGGCCACGTGCTCGGTCTGTTCTAGTTCTCCGCGGTGTGTCCTCTTCCCTCTCCCCCAAGTTCAGAACTTTTAGTGGTTGGGGAAGGTTTTTGTGCACCCCCGAGCCACCAATCCAGCTTTGGCACTAGTCCCTGGGGACAGCCTGTTCGCTCATTAACTCCTACTCCCCTCACCCCCCCCCCCTTTTTTTTTGCAGGAGAGTATGGGCTCCGAAACAAACGTGAGGTCTGGAGGGTCAAAATTCACCCTGGCCAAGATCCGCAAGGCTGCCCGGGAGCTGCTGACGCTGGACGAGAAAGACCAACGGCGTTTGTTTGAAGGTGTGTATGGGATCACACAGGACAGCCATGAGGTGCGGGGCCACTGCGGTTCTTCTAGGCGTGCCTGTCCAGTGGTCAGAGTGTTAAAGTGGAATAAGTGGATCCTTGGCGTTTAATGGGAACGTGGGAGGGGGGGGGCGTGGAGAAGTGGCTCTGGATACAAATCCCTACACTGTCCCTTATGAGGGATAATGGAGGTTAGTTTACTGTTGACCAAAATCAATAATGCCCGCCAAGCTGGGGCACCTGGCTATAGCTGTGTGTGTGTGTGTGTGTGTGTGTGTGTGTGTATGTATGTATGTATGTATGTATATAATGTGACATGGTTCTGGTGGGGATAGACAGTGAAATTTCTGATGGTGACTGCAGGGAGGGGGACTTGCTGTGTACATTTGCCTGCTTAAATAAGGCGGTCAGGGGCATTCAGGTGACATTTAGCAAAGGCCTGAACAGGAGAGGACTTGTGGATGTCACAGGGAAGACATTTAGACTCTTGCTTAAGGTCTTAATTTTCTGCTTTGAGATGGGAAGTTAGTGGAAGATGGACACGATCACACTCAAATTTTAATAGTACCTCTTAGATTGTAAGGTGGCAATAATTATAAAATAGCTGATGTTTTATAAGGATTGGCTAAGTACTTTTTTCTAAGATCTTGGTATGTGTTATTTATTTTTTAAAGAACTCAGTTTTTTATTTATTTTTTATTTTTAAATATATTTTATTTTTTACAGAGAGGAAGGGAGAGAGATAGAGAGTTAGAAACATCGATGAGAAACATAGATCAGTTGCCTCCTGCCCATCTACTGGGGATGTGCCCGCAACCCAGGTACATGCCCTTGACCGGAATCGAACCTGGGACCTTTCAGTCCGCAGGCTGACGCTCTATCCACTGAGCTAAACCGGTTTCGGCGGTATGTGTTATTTAATCTGCACAGCACCTCATAGGGATGGCTACTGATACCTGTAAGAACAAATGGTGAGAGAGGCCTCCCTTTGACAGTCTTATGACACTGGTCCCCTTTCCCAATGACACTGGTATTGGGTGAGACTGAATCCCAGAGGTTGTAGGGAGCAGGCCACTGCTGGTTCTGGTTTCAGGACTCATAGCTAGTCACAGTGAAACTTACTCAAGGCTGTAGTTAGATGACAGTCATGTGGCAGAGATGACAGGTGATCTGTAGGTGTCCAAGGATTGTGGTTTTCCAGGGTAGAAATGGAAATTGCAAGGGGAAGTCAGCACCTTCACTTTCTAGTAAATGAAGCCATTTAGCCACAGGAAAGGGAGGGGGAGAAGTGAAGCTAAACCTTTCCAAGGACGAAAGTTTTGGGCTTTTATCTCCGTGTTAAGGTGCTAATTAGCTATAGCCTGTGCTGTGAAGCTGGTAGGCTTTCTTAACTCCAGGATATTAGCTTACGCCCAGGCTTTGTTCTGGGAGTCATAGTTTGATAACAGCAGCCCTTAGTCTTGCAGGTGAATGCTGAGCCCTTTTAGTGGGTTGTCATTTTCCTTCCTGACAACTCTGAGGAAGGTTCTCCTTTTCCAGATGAGGACATACCTGTATGTGGTCACATGCCCTTGCTGGTGAGATGGATGTAGCCATAGGAACCTGCCTTAGGGTTGTGTGAGGGTCACACCAGTCACATGGTGGCTGGCATGTTGACTCCTATGTCAGAATTAGCTGTACGTGCACTGATGTCCCACCAGCATGGTCAGCATAGGGTGGAGGACTTGCACCCATCAAGTGTGAGCTCAGCCAGAACCGTAGCTCATGCTTCCTCCCCTTCACCAGGCAATGCCCTGCTGCGGCGTCTGGTCCGCATTGGAGTGCTGGACGAGGGCAAGATGAAGCTGGATTACATCCTGGGCCTGAAGATCGAGGATTTCTTGGAGAGGCGCCTGCAGACCCAGGTCTTCAAGCTGGGCTTGGCCAAGTCCATCCACCATGCCCGTGTGCTGATCCGCCAGCGTCACATCAGGTACCACCTATGCCAGGCTCCCTGAATCCCTCAGCCCCCGCCACCCCCATCCCTTCTGAAGGTTGCTCTCACTAAGCCTGCTGTCCCTGTCTCCTGTGCAGCCCTCGGAGGTGACAAAGGTGTGAGCTCACCTTGAGGGTACAGAGTGACCCCTACAAACAGCTTGTGGGGAGCTGGGGGCCGCCTCACCCCCCCATAGCCCAGCGCAAGGGTCACTGCGGCTTGAGCCGTACACCTTGCGAAGGCCTCTGCCAGGCATGCAGGCAGCTGGACAGGTAACAGCTCTGGTGCCCCCAGTTGAGAGAGAAGACATTGGGCCTCAGTTTGCTTGGGTGGGCTCAGCTGGATCCTGGACCCACTCGTGAAGTTGTTCCAGACCCTGATCCTCTTGGATTCTTGCACTGTGGGTGTTAACTTGGCTAATGGACCACAGTCCAGGGTCTGGTGCGGCGCAGATGCTGGCTCAGGGTGGTGGCTGGTGTAGTGAAGACAGGGCAGCGGGTCTTGCCCTTTCTATAAATTGGCACCACTCGGGGGGAGCTATGCAGTAAGTGGCCAGGATGCTGCTTTATGGAATTGCTGCCTAAGCCCTTCCCTAGCCCTGCGACGACCCACGGGCAAGAGCCTCAGTCACATTTCTTGTTGGAAATGACTTCATAGAGCCCAGCCTCCGGCTGCTGCTTCCAGGGCAGTGAAACTGCAGGAAAAGGAAGCTCCGTGTCTGGCACAATTCAGAATATTGGAAAGTTAGATCTCGGATTTATACACTGCCACCTCACCTCATTGGCTTTGTGGCCTTGTGTGGTTACCTCTGAATCTCCCTGTTGTGTGAAATGAGAGAAGCTCATCTCACAGTATCTGTACGGGTTAGATTAGATGGACCCGGAGGCCATAGGGTCAGGAGGCCCGGCCAGCTTAGCTGTGTGAGCGCAGCTATAAATGCCAAACCTGTCAGCTTGAGGCACAAATGAGGAGAGTGGTGTCTTGTCCGGTGTGGGGTCCTACTCCCCCTTGACCTGCCATCCCCCCTCCAGGGTCCGCAAGCAGGTGGTGAACATCCCGTCCTTCATTGTCCGTCTGGACTCTCAGAAGCACATCGACTTCTCCCTCCGGTCTCCATACGGGGGTGGCCGCCCAGGCCGCGTGAAGAGGAAGAACGCCAAGAAGGGCCAGGGCGGGGCTGGAGCCGGTGATGACGAGGAGGAGGATTAGGTCCCCTCATCCCCCCTGGACTGGCGGGGTGTCTAGTTTTACATTCAGATAATAAAACACTTTGAACTGGTCTCTATGGTGATCTCTTTCCCTCCCTGCTCCGAACATAGTCTGTAGCTGGGAAAAGCGTGGCCTGGGTTCTTCACCAGGTTACTTAGAGCTAGTTCACACCTGTCAAACTTTCTGCACAGGGGGCCTGGCTAACCTGGTTTGGTCACATCCTTGTGGGCTTTTATTTCTGGTGTAAAACAAACATCCGTATACACTGCAAAGTTATCACCCCCTAAAGTCTAGTTGCTGTTAATCAAAAAATTGGGGATGCTTCATGAATCTGCACGTCATCCTCGCGAGGAGCCATGCTGAGCTGTCCACTGTTTGTATGTGCTGCTGCTGAAGCCACCACTGTGGGTACTTGTGACAGCTTGTAGGTGCCAGTCCTTGTCCTAAGGTAGGGCCTGTGCTAGTGGACAAAACATTCACACAACAGGGAGACCAAGGCTATAACGGGAAGGTTCTTTGAATCAAAACTTGATTACTATTGGCAAGCAAATTTTTTGTTAATCCTTGCCTGAGGGTATTTTTCAATTTGCTATTTAGGGAGAGAGGGAAGAACAAACAAATTGGTTGCTTCCTGCACAAGCCCCAGCCAGGTATATGTCCTTGACCGGAATCAAACCCGGACCCTTTGGTCTGTAGGCCAGTGACATTAACCTGTTGAGCTCAGCGTGTCAGCATTTTGAAAAACCCTAACCTAACTCTGGTGCCGTGTCACATAGAAATTTTTTTGATATTTGCAACCATAGTAGAACAAAGACATTTTTGATATTTTATACTCGTGACCCTGGTGCACAGATTTGTGCACATTGAACAGGAATTAATTAGAAGGTGGCTGGCGGGGCGGGACTGGGTGAGACAGGTGGGATATTCCCTGAAACCAACCTCCCAAGTTCCCTCCCGGGCATCTGTGGAGTGAGCGGGGGTCCCTTAGGTGGGGTCCCTTGGGCTGGCCTGCAGAGATCGGGCCAGAACCAGCTCTCCAACATCCCCCGAGGGGTCCCAGGGTAAGAGAGGGCACTCTGCAAAGTTGCTTTCCTACAGGGTGTGGAACACAAGTGTGCAGTAAACCAGATTCTGGGCTGATGGTGCCCCAGCAACAACGTAACCCATGGCCAAAGGGGGAGTCGCGAGGCCCTGCGAGGAATTGGGCTCTCTCCTCTCTGGTTTTGGGGTGCGTCACCAGAGAAATGCAGCTGTCAAGTCACTGCAGCTCGGCAACTCCTGCAGTGAGTACCCCCTGGTGGTCAGTGTGCATCATAGCAACCAGTCAGACAGTGGGAGGGACACAGCATATTAGTCTTTTATATATATAGATATTTAAATGCCATTTAACAAAAATCAACCAAAAAAATGAGTTTGCATGTCACCTCTGATAGGCGTGTCAAGGTTTGCCATCACTGCTGTAGGCTGACGTTCTAGCCACAGCCAAATTAGGGTGGAAATCATTTTAAGTTTAAAGATGAGCATTCTGAATAAAAACCAGGAAGTTCTGAAAGCTGGAGTCATTTGCATGTAGAGCAGTGATTCCCAAAGTGGGCGCTACCGCCCCCCGGTGGGCGCTGCAGCGATCCAGGGGGGCGGTGATGGCCACAGGTGCATTTGGGGGCAATGAGTAACTGCTATTAAAATTTAAAAAAAATTAATTTCCAGGGGCTGAGTAATATTTTTTCTGGAAAGGGGGCGGTAGGCCAAATAAGTTTGGGAACCACTGATGTAGAGGAAGTAGCAAGTGGAGGTCGGGTCAGCTCCCACTTACAGCTTTTGACCCTGGTCCCTGGCAAGAAGTCTGGGTGAGGGGGGGGGGGGGGTGGGAGCTGAGAGCTGATCTGGATCCATCCACCTTGGTTTGCTGATGAGTTTTAATTGACAAGATCTACAGGCTCATTTCACAGCTGGTTACAGGATGGTTGATGGGTGGATTCCCAGTTCTGTCTTGAGATTTAAGTGAAGTGGGGAATGGTTAGTGGCCATGGAGTAGCGCCCCTCCCCCTGGGTCTGGGGGATGAAGAAGTGGTCAGGAGGGAGCAGGCTTCTCTTTTTCTTGGTGAGACGCTTTCTCAGGGGAGGAAGTGGCTGAGTCTTGGGAAATGAGGAACACGAAGTTGAGCAACCCCTCAGTGGTGCAGCCACCTTGCGTCCTGTGGTTGGTCCCCGTCTGGGAACTTTTGGGCTCAGTTAAGTGCACAGTGACAGTGGCCGGGCAGTAGGCCCCCCCTCAGCCCGAGGTTGCCACTTGCATACTTACTGCCTCGATGGCAGTTCCCTGGGATCCTTGCAGTCAGCAGGGTCCCTGTGGCGGGGTCTGTAAGTCAGCTGAGTAACGACGCAGTTCCTGGAAGCAGTTAACTTCCAAAAGGTCCCAGGAGCTGCTGGGGGCACGTCAGGTCTCCAGGCTGGCAGGGGTCACTACCTGAGTGTCCATGGCAGCAGCTTTCACGCCTTTTAGGGTCCCTGCACGGACCTCCCTGGAGTGTGGGGTCTGGGTCTTTGCTGGGCTAGTGCATGGCCAGAGAAGCATACAAGCTGGGCTCTTCTCGGGGCTCCTCTGATGGGGAGGAAGGGGGTGCACTTGACTGCTGGCTGAGGGTCAAGGGCTTGAGCTGGGCGTAGGTCACATCCTGGGGGTCTTCAGGTGCCGCAGCCTGTGGTGGGGAGAATGAAGACCCGTGGTTGGGGTGGGGGAGCCTGAGACCAGGGAGGAAAGGACACAGTCCTGGGGCCTTAGTGGCCAGGGCTCTGCTGGACACAGTGAGGGGTGGTCTCCTTGGTTCTAGTCTTGCCCTGCACCAGTCATTGTGTCTTTGGGGGTCTAGGGGAGGAGGGATGGGAGGTTGGAAGGTTGGAGGTGTGAGTCTGGTGCTGGGGAGACAGGAATTGGGCATGGAGCCGTCACCATGGGGGGACAGACCCCACTGCTGCCCTCAACGGAGTGCCATCCATTCCCTAGGGCAGTGATGGCGAACCTATGACACGAGTGTCAGAGGTGACACGCGAACTCATTTTTTTGGTTGATTTTTCTTTGTTAAATGGCATTTAAATATATAAAATAAATATCAAAAATATGTCTTTGTTTTACTATAGTTGCAAATATCAAAAAATTTCTATATGTGACACGGCACCAGAGTTAAGTTAGGGTTTTTCAAAATGCTGACACGCCGAGCTCAAAAGTTTCGCCATCACTGCCCTAGGGTGAGCAGAGGGAGCCTGCCATGTACAGAGCCTGTTGGCACCGGTGTG